AGTAGATTAGTCAGTTTCACCGCCAACACTAGCGGGTCTCCATCAGGTCCAAGCTTCATTGACCGGAACTGCTGCATTGCTAGCTGTCTGTCTGTTTCGCTGTCAAACTCGGACACTAGTCGTTCAACCAATTTCTTCCAAGACGCTGTGCCATTTGACCTGTCTACGCTGTCATATGCAGCCTTCGCTCGGCCTCTCAACAGCGTCCCCAGGACAACTGCCTTCGCCGCCTGCTCCTTGACACCCACCAGCTCAGCAACAGCCTCGAAGTCACGTAAGAAGCTCCGTATGTCTCCTTCTTCAAACGCAGCTGGCCACGGGATCTTCATTTTCTGGAGGCAGCGACACCAAATGTAACAACAGAAGACAAGGGCGAAGCAACAGATCGTTTTATTATGAAAATCAACACGTATTTATACATATTTCACATACATTATTATAGACAAGCGCAGTCATCTGATTGGTTGTTTATCAGAAGTTAGGCAGACAAACGCAGGCTTCTGATTGGTTGTTTCGGGATTCCTCGACAAATAGAGTTCTCTATCTGCGAATCATATTTTGCCACGTTAACTTTGCTGTGATTGGTTGTTGAATCAGCCTTGTTCATATTTTCTCACGGCCCATATTAACGTAGATTAGTGTCAACCAATCGGCTAGCAGCCTGCTCTCACCACACTACTACTATTTCTACTAATACTGCTAGTACTATCACTATTATTAATACTACACTACTGCGCTCCCCCACTACTTCACGATTTCACCACTACACTACCTCATCAATACAAGAATACACCAGTGCACTAATACACTACTGCTAATAACCATACCGATGCTACTATTTCTAGTACTACTAATACGACTAGTAGTACTAAACTAATACTCTACTGCACTACTTCAGTACTACACTGCTACACGAATACACGGCTAATACTACTACCACTACGGCTGCTACTGCTTTTTCTCTAAACTACTACACTACGATATAAGTACACTACTGTGGTTCTTATACTAGTACATTGCTACACACACACTACACTTAAACACTAGTACACTATTACGCTGCTATCACTGTAACGACAGAAGACAAGGGCCAGACAAGAGATCGTTTATTAAGGAAATCAACACATATTTATAGATTTTTATGTACACATCGTAGATTATTGTTAGCAGAAAACACAGTCCTCTGATTAGTTGTTTCTCACAGAAAGTTAATCTTTCATCTCTTTGTGGCTGTTTCTTGAATCTCAGATCATCTATATGTTAACTGTATCCACCCACGCAAAGCCTTTGTTCTCATTTTTCTCATAACCAATACTTGGGACATGAACACTGACGTAAAATGCTGTCCACCAATTTGGGCTAGGAGATAACTCTCACCATAGTAGTAGTAATGTAGTGAGAGCTATCTGCAAGCTGAAATTGTAGACAACAATTTACGTCAATGTTCACGCACTATTCTTAAACTAATGGACAACTACTACTGTTAATACTACTAGTACTAGTCCTACTATAATGCTACTACTACAACTACAACTAGACTGTTAAACTACTACACTTTTAAAAGTACATATACTACAAGACTACTACTACCACTACTAGGAATACCATTACAACTACCAAAAAAATCTACTACAATTACTATTGCAAGTACTATACTACTCCACTACTGCGACTAATATTATTAAGCTGACACACTGCCACAATAATACACTACTAATCTAATAAACTGCTACATTATTAGAGTAATACACAACTGCACTGATGCCACTAATACGACAATAACTAGTGATACTACCACTACTACTTTTTTCTTTCCTTCACGTTCCCCAGTGTGACATAGGGCTTCAAGCTAGTGGCTTGAAGTTTCTGTAGCAGTGTTTAATTTTTACAGGATGGGGTTGCTAGCCTCATGCCCAACCTTTCCTCTTTAGCAGCATTATTTCCGGCTTGGCGAGGTTCAGGAGTGCGTAGGCCGGGGATCGAACCTCGGACCATGTGCATGGTCGGCGAGAGACCTATCCGCTATGCCACGAACGGACTTCTACTACTACTGCTACTCTACCACACTACTGCGCTACTACTACTAATACAAGTAAACTAATATAATACTGCACTGTTACTACTGTAACAGCAGAAAGCAAGACACGGATGCCAAGGTATATTTTCAAGTGGTCAAACCGCTATTTGTGTATATATATATAGTTTGTATTCTTCAGTCAATCACTGAGTAGGTGATTTTGATTAACGTTGAACGACATAAAATAGAGTGTTCAATAAAGTATTCTGTTGTTAATGCAGTATTGAACTGTAGGAATATGTAAGAATAATATTCCGTTGGCACATATTGTCCGTATCACACTACCACAGTAGTAGTAGTGTAGTAATGTGGTAGGAGTAGTAGTAACATTAGTACTAATGTAGTACAATAGTAGCGCCGTTGTGTACTAGTCAAGTAGTATAGTGGTGCAGTGGTGTTGTATCTTAGCATCATTAATACTATGGGTAGTGATAGTTCTACTATTAGCAGTTTAGTTCACAAGTAGTACTGGTGTAGTAGATTGGTAGTGTATTAAATTGGTATTATAACAGTGTAGTAATGTAAAACTCTAGTGATGAAGTAGTATACTAGTGTATTAGAGTATTAATGTACTAGTGTGTTATTGTACTAGCGTACTTTCGTACTACAGTCCTAAAATATTACATTACTACACTACCAATCTACTATATTAATACACTACAGCACTACTACTGCTGCCACTACCACTACTAACATTACTTAAATTACTAGTATTATTACTGCTAATACACTACTACTACTACTATTAGTACTACACCTACTCTGTTACACTAATACACTAAATCACTGATGCACTACTATTACAATAGTACAGTAGTACCACTTAAAATTTGCGTGTACTACCACTATCACTAATATTACTCCTGCTATAATACAACCCTGTTCCTTCTTCTACTGCTTTTAATAACTCTACTGCTAAAACTACACTACTACTAAGACTATTCCAAACAGAACTACTACTACCACTACTGGAAATAATACTATTGCTACTACTATTACTACTGTAACGACAGAAGACAAGGGTCAGGCAACAGATCGTTGATTGAGAAAATCAACAGATATTTATAGATTTTTATGTGCATTATTACTAGTGTTACTGTTAGCGGAGGAGCGGCCTCTTCTGATTGGTTGTTTTGTTGCTGAAGGTTTTTCTGTACTGTTCGTGGTCGTTTCTTAGAAAGTTAACCATATATCTGCGAATCTTATTTCCACACGCTAGGTCTGTTCTGACCGGTTGTTGAGTTCCCCAAGGTTAGGCTTAGTTCTGGTTTTTTCCCATGACCTTGATTCAGGACGTGAACATTGACGTAAATTGTTGTCTACAATTTCAGCTTGCAGACAGCTCTCACTACATTACTACTACTATGGTGAGAGTTATCTCCTAGCCCAAATTGGTGGACAGCATTTTACGTCAGTGTTCATGTCCCAAGTATTGGTTATGAGAAAAATGAGAACAAAGGCTTTGCGTGGGTGGATACAGTTAACATATAGATGATCTGAGATTCAAGAAACAGCCACAAAGAGATGAAAGATTAACTTTCTGTGAGAAACAACTAATCAGAGGACTGTGTTTTCTGCTAACAATAATCTACGATGTGTACATAAAAATCTATAAATATGTGTTGAATACCTTAATAAACGGTCTGTTGCCTATCCCTTGTCTCCTACAACTACAGCTGCAGCTACTAATACTACTACACCACAACACTAATGCGCTTGTGAAACACGACTGCGGTACTAGCGTACCACTACTTCATTACACTACCACACTTCTAAACTAGTGTTACACTACTGCTACTTCTACTCACAGTAATAATACTGATAATCATCATGACGAGTTTAAAAAGAGATTGATGTTTCGTGCTAATAATTAGTAATCTCTAATCCACAAAATATGTACTGAGTTAGTCATATCTATGCGTCTTACAGCCAGTCATATCAAAATTTATTCATTTGGCTCCCATAATTTTGAAGTGTGGAGTTTTAAATAAGGAGAGGAAGACAGTCAAAAACTTGATGAAGTTCTTTCGACTCAGATGAGTATAACCTATCTGACACATGTTGAGTAAGTGCTCTCCTTGACAATCAATGTTGGGCGGAATCGGGCTGCTCCAGAAAAGCGTAAGAAGTAGGTCAGATGAGGACTTGGCATCAACCTATGAAGCCTTTGACTGACTATTAGTTCAAGCCGTAGTGTCGACTTCCTGTTATGAATCAATAGCTGTAGAGTGTTGGCCACGTGACTCAAAGTCTTTGAAAATGTTGTAGATGTATTAATTGCCTGTCATTATCCAAATTCTGGAAATCCTCGCTAGTATTTGACATATTATTCTTCATCCCGTTAACCTTTTTTATTGCTGTTTCATTTCATTTGGTTCCTCTAGCTTAATGTTTTTTCTCTGAAGTGTAATTATCTGGATTTATACACTCTTGTGCAAATATCTGCGTTGTTTGTGTAAACAAAAGTGATGCTTAGGTTCATTCATTCCTTGTCATTATTTAAATTGTAGTGTTCTATTTCTTTATTCGCTGTAATATTTATTTATTTATTTTATGTTCTGGATTCCTACAACTTTCTGGATTTTTAAAATCCTCAGAAAAAGTTTACCTTATGTGAAAATATTTGGCGTGGTTCTTTGAACCACATTAATGCACTAACGTTCTATAACTACCAGTGAAGAATAGCTAGTTATCGAGGTTCGAATAAAGAATAACGCAAAGTGACGTTCATAAATACACTGCGCTGTGTGTCAATTTTAATTACAGTGATTACATGGATATAGAATATTATTAGTACCAACAATATTTGTATTGTTCAGGCAAATTTTTTGTTTTATTTTAGTGTAAATAAGAAAAGACAAACGAAATTCTTCCTTCATGTTTGATAGCATTGTCATATAACTTTTCTCTTACGCTTTCACAGATTTGTGTTAAAGGTAGGAGATGTACGAAAGGTTATTACAAAGATCCTCAAAAGACAGCTGAATTAATTGATGCAGATGGCTGGCTACATACAGGTGATATTGGAGAATGGAGTCCAGTAAGATGCCGATTTTTTAACCTTTTCTTCGTTTACTTTAAGATTTTCTTTTAGATGAATATTTTGGATGTTTTTCTCGTAAATTTTCCTAAATATTTGGTGAATCTTCAGTACCAGTTGTAGTTGTTTTATAATTTTCCGCGTAGCTATATCTCGTTTAATACCCCATATATATTTTTAACTATGTTAACATTCAAGTGAATGGTTTATTTCACATGACGTGGTACGGCCGACGGTGAATAGACTTCAATTTCCCCCTGCGAATTGGTCTCATGTGACCTTGCGTACATAGCATGTGCCAGGTAAATCCTACTATCTCCTCATAAAAGTAAAAAGGCGAATGAGAACACCTGGCGCTAACAACCAGGCCGGTCGATATGTTGATCTTCTAGGGGAACTTGAAAACCCTGATTCCATACATATGGGGTACATGGGCTCCAGAATCCAGACGAATCAAATGGCATATAAACTTGTTTTGGTGGTCTGCAACAAGTGGAACGTTCTCCACTGCCTTTCGGGTCATACTTGAATTCAAACGCTTGGAGTGTGGTCCCTTATGACAACCTCTTGCTTCGATCTGGATGTTCGACCCTCGGCATAAACTTTGAGATTCTATGTGCCGCGTCTATTGATGCCAAGTTTTCTGTTTCAGTAATAATAGTAATTATTCTTTTTCTATATATTCATTTCATTTTAACTGTTTATGGTTGTTACCGTGTTTTAATAACCATCACTAGTGATTAATTAGACAGTTCATGTTGCGACGTTCAGGTTTTTTGATTGTCTTTGGTCTTCTAGCATATCCTGCGTCAAAAGTTAGTGCTCTGAGTGAATGATTATAGGCATAATATTTTTATTACCAAAACTGGTGAACTGTACGTCTTTATTCTTTCGAGTTTTTGTCTTTTAAGCTGGTTTTTATTGATGCTGCAATCCACTACAGACTTTGTTCTCAAATATGAAGAGTAGTAAATTATTACGTCATCTGACCGTAATAGACAAGGAGAACTGTTATGCGATATATTTTAAATGCTCTTCGTAATATTGTTCGTCATTGTATTTCTTGTTAACTTTAGGAAGGTGCACTGAAGTTGGTTGATCGTGTTAAAAGCATTTTCAAACTAGCTCAAGGTGAATACGTAGCTCCAGAAAAACTTGAAACAATCTATCAAACCTGTAACCTTGTCAATCAAATTCTTGTTGATGCAAATTCAAATTCCAGTTTTCTTGTTGCAATAGTAGTGCCAGACTTCGACGAATTGCGTGAATTGTTTAGTAAAAGTGAACCTGGTTTGCTTAATTTATCTGATCAAAATCTTTGTCAACTTGGAAATGTCAAGCAAATTATTTTGAATTCCCTAAATCGAATTGCCGCTGATAATAACTTGAAAGGATTTGAAAAAGTAAGCCATAAAGAGAATTCTTATGATTTAGCTACATGAAGGTCACATTTTGATTAACGCCACAGAAAAATTATTATAAGCTATCTCTCCTAATCCAAATAATCTAGTTTTTATGAGCAAACGATTTTAGATTCTTTACTCTATTTTACTTTAGCTTTAAGCAAGTAGTGTATGCATCGGACTTATTTAATTTCAAATTTTCCATTGTAATACTAAGCGCTTGTGTATTAAAGAATGGTCGTCATCTCTTTTCCCATCACAAACTACTTTGTATTCCAGGTCATACTAATCAATCTTCTACTGTGTATAAGGTATAAACTTCATTGTGTTGAATATAGTAAGGTAGTTTGCCAAGGTGTAGTAGTGCGTCCTATTTTAACAAAGTACAGCGTAATAACAGCCCTATGATTGTGTATTTTCTACGACTTGTATTTAATTAAAAGTGTTGGCGGTGTCAGCCTAGGATGTAATTTCCAACAGAATGTAGCGTTTAAATTAATAAATGAAGGCTGAAAATTATTTTTTGATAAACAGAGGTCTAATGATTCAGATCATTCACGCTTGTTCAATTCCCCTGTGGTACCTTGAGGCTTTCGACACTTTATGACCACTGACTTTTGGAGAATATTTTTGTTTGCAATTTCAGATTGTTGCAAGCTGTAATTTCACTTCATCTTACACATTCATGGTTGAATGTGAAAATTAAGGCACTCTGTTAGAAGCTATTTACTGAAGCCAACTGTCAAGTTCTCAGTGTCTCATATCTTGTATATTTTAACCAAGTAGTGTTTGTAATAGACGATTCTAATGAGACATATGCCTTAAAGAGTTCGGCTTTGGGCTATAAAACTGCGAGTCTTTTCAGGTGGAAGACTGTCTCCCTAATATCGAGGGGAACTGGTTTAAACTCACAAATTACGTGAATTTATTATTTCTTTGCTAATTTGATCTAATCGGTTTTCAGTTAAGTTTGTTGAAAGATTGAAACTTAATGCAGTCACGTGTTGATATCAAACTTAATGACTTTGTTCTGTGACTGGGAGTCGAAGCTGACGGGTTGTAAGTCTAAATATACAGTCTAAATACTTACGAAGGACACAGTTAATTCCAACAATCATCTAACCCACTAGGTTTGCGTTTTTATTGCTAAAATCCATGAAGCATTCTCAGAAAATGTCGATGATATGGTCTAATTCGGCACTCCTCTTTTCGTTCTCTCTGGTAGATTGTACAAGAGGCTGATTAATGAGAATATTTGCTAATAGTTATTCGTTCATTTCAGTTTAAGTCTGTACTGTCTATTCATTTCTCGAAAAGATAATGAATAGTTCGTCGTCATCGTAGGCAAGTTTATTTATGTGGCTATTCTCGGAGTAAGAATTATGGTCAATCATTTATTTATTAATTTATTTCATTCGTTTACTTTCCGAGTAGAAAATAGGGCCTCAAGCTAGAGCTCTGAGGTTTCGGCAGCAGTGTAGGTTGCTAGTCTCAAGTCCGACCTTTCGTCTTTACTGGCCTTACTACCGGCCTAGAGTGAGGTTTGGGAGTGCGTCAGCCGAGGATCAAACTCTGGACCACGCGTAGGTGGTCAGCATTCTACCGATGAACCACCGACGCGATCAAAATACATCCTTAATTTTTTTCTGTAGACAACACAATAGGTTGCTTCAATGGTAGACAATGTGTCTTTGACACTTCTATAACAATTAGTTCTATTATTTCAGTTTACAGATTTCCTTTTTATTATCTGTTAAACTTAATGACTGAAACCGATAATTAAATGTTTATATGCAAAATGTTAGGTCACATTAAATCTCTTGAATCATATGACGTGTAACATTTGTACTTGAGAAAATCATCTGTGTATGGTTCTTAATCTATTCCTGGACTAAAATCTTAGAAAGAAAAAGGTTGGCCACTTTGAAAATGCATATTGTGGACTTAAATATACATACTACAAAGATATTTCTATAGATAATTCAGCGGAAATTTTGTCTGAGAAAGACAAAAGAATGGCTTTTTTCTGAAATTATCAACAGAAGATATTTTCAATTGATAGTGTTCTCTGAGCTCCTTGGTTTAATTGCGGAGCTTTCATCGTCTTTCTGGACGACATCTTCAGCGCAGTATTTAGGATGTCGTCCAGAAAGACGATGAAAGCTCCGCAATTAAACGAAGGAGCTCAGAGAACACTATCAATTGCAAATCATCCACCTGAGTTACAAATCTTTTCTATTATTTCAGAAGATATTTTCATTTGATATTGTATGATTTCGTTTAAATAATCACAAATATTCTTTCTTTCCCCCTAAAATTCTACAATAGCTGAAAAGGATTGAGTTGATTCATGAAGCTTTTACAATCGAGAACGGATTTCTTACCCCAACGCTCAAAATATCCCGAAATAAAGCCAGGAAGGCGTATGCTGACGTCGTGAACAAATTATGTCAGGAATCAACCATTTAGAGAATACTAAATAATAAGAGGACATTATCTTATGTGTTTGATAAATGACATATAATCTTTTTTTATCTGTTTTTTTCCGCCTTTTTGGATCGCGCTAGAATGTGAGTAGCGATGACATGATGAAAAGTGTTACCAATAATTTTTGCATAATTAAACAGGCTAGAAATTTTTGACAGAATAAAACTAGCAGGTTAGTTGTTTTAGTAATATTTCTCTAAAAAATAGCTGAATAATGATGAAATATGAGGCTTCTAGTAAGAAACATTTCTTCCGACTGAATAGAAGACAGCACCACAATACCATAATCGAATTAAAAATGCCTACGTATTTTCCTGAACGATAAGTAGACAGAGGTTGATCAGACAATTCCAATGAAGTTTAGTTAACCACCTTAGCTTTAAGTTTCATGTAGTCGTAAAATTATTTATTCTTAGATCTCCTAATGTTCTATAAAAACGTCTTCATCGTTGATCATCACTTTAAGAATGGCTACTTGTAAACATTTTCTTCTCTGAATGATGATGTTCCCTTTTAGATAAGTGACAGCAACAACATATTTATGCAGAGCCAATACTTCAGAAGAGTAACATCAACTACTGAAGTAAAAATAAGTGAATGCATTCTACTTTCTTTTGCGAGTAACATATAATATGGAAGATAGAAACAGGAAATCAAATTATGAACATACCACAATTAATGTGAATGAAATAAATCTGTCAGTGTTCCATTTAAATTGAAATGGTTGTCTCTAGTAAGAAATTGATTCGGCATACCATGAATCTATAGTGATATTATTTATTTGAAAATTGACACAGTTAAAGACAAATTATACTGAAATTAACAAATTCGGTAGCTAATTTGAAACAATGAAACTGTCCAAGTTTTAGTTATGATATTTAACTCTATTACTAATGACAAGAATGCTTAACATTCTGAATGAAATCAAATACCGAAAACGGGAAAACCCTTGCGATCGTTGATATAAGAATAGAACTTGATATGATTTTGAGCAGTAAATTGTTCTCGAAACGTCATCAGTAAATATTAATGTTTAACACTGTGAGACTTTATCAAAATGCATTTTACCCACAATAGAATTATACTCTACCACAGTGCACAAGTTCTATTCTGATATCAATGATACATATGGTCTTCCTACTAGGAATTTTATCAACAAACTCACGCAACTTTGTCAAACAGAAGCAAGATTCATAAACCATCGGATTTTCAACAGTTGATGTTTACGCCTGTGCACTGCAATTACTTCAAGCAAAATAACATCAGCAGCCGAAAATGTCAGTAGATTATGTCTAAGAGAAGAACTAAATAGAATTATTGTGAAGTTAAATAATATAAGAAATGAAACTGAAAAACTTAAACAAAAACTCAGATGTATAATCAGTTGTTGTTGAAACATGCAAAGCAGCTAGAGAATAAGCATTAAGAAAATCAAAAACCACACAAATTAAAAGATTCAACAAACTAATAGCAGAAGAGAACACAATAAATGAAACTGACGTCAACGTTTCACCCTTTATTGACAAAACAAAACAGGTGATCAACCTGTCATCAAGGAAACTAAGCCCTAGTGAGATAAAATACTTGAAAGAGGTCTAAATTTAACAGTTAGTAAATTAAAACCAGAGAATGTTATTCCTAACATAGAAGTACCTCTAAGTTAAATAGATAAGACGACAGCAGAAGGGGTTCGAGCACAATGTGTGTTAACCTTTAAAAATCGGAAAAAGCAAAATCAAACTTAACGAAAACGGAAAGACTAGCTGTAATTAGTCAAAAACTGGATAAAAACATCGTCATCACAAAAACTGATAAAGGAAATTCTACAGTAGTTTTGGATAAATCTGACTATATCACGATAGTCACTGAACATATTGAGACGGGTCCATATGAGGAAATTAAGAAGCCTGTAGGAACAGTAATGAATGAAAAGCATCTTTAAGACCATGATTACTTTCTCAATAACTATACCTTTCGTTAGAATTATCATAGTGTAACTCGACCTTTTATTGGTAATATCACTATACTTATGAATTATCAAAACATTTACGTCTGATATTATGTCCCACTAGAAATCGTTCAAATTCTATGCTAAACAGTTCATATGAGATTAAAAAGAAACTAAATGACAGTCAACTAGAGAATAATACAACCACGGTTACTTTTGATATAACTAGTCTTTATACTAATATACCAATCAATATGGCCTTAGAAGTAGTTAAAAGAGAGCTAACTGCTGATCCTCAAATTACTCATAGGACGAAGCTACCAACTGAGAAAATTATCTTAGGAATTCAGTGCGTCGGTGGCACAGTGGTTAGGACTCTCGCCGACCATGCACATGGTCCGGAGTTCGAGCCCACGCCGGCGCACACCTGATATCTATGGTCGGCCTGCAAAATTTGGGCTACCGATATCCATGCTGAAAATTCCATACTTGTACCAAATATACAGTGTGGAATCAAGCTGTAAATCAAAAAAAATATGCCTCACATATGCCATCTTTAAATTCCAGGACAAAATATATAGACAAACAGAAGGTGTAGCGATGGGATCACCAATATCCCATATCGTAGCAGATATATTTATGGACAGCTGAGAAAGTATTGCTCTTATTACATTTAATCCTACTCCAAAGATATGGCGCAGATATGTGGATGATACTATCACAGTGGTAAAAGGAGAACATATCTGTAGCTTTTTGACACATATAAACTCACTAGTAGAGGGAATAAAATTCACATTTCAAGCGGAAAATGAACAAGGAGAAATAGCTATGTTAGATTGTAAAATAAAACGAATAGAACAAGGTAAACTGCACACTAGCGTTTATACAAAACCAACGCATTCTAATAGATATTTAGACTTTAATTCATCTCATCCATTAACTGTTAAGACAAGCTTAGTTAAGTGTTTAACGAACCGAGCAATAGCACTAAGTAATACATTAAAAAGACCTAAATGATGAAATAAAACAGATAGAAGAAGCGTTGGTGTCAAATAACTATCCTATAAAATTCATTGGGAAGATCAGAAAATGTCGAAAGCAAAATAGAAATAATAGCGAAACTGATAAGGAAAACATAAATAAGGGAGGATATACGGGATCTACTGTTGTAGGGGACTTATACTAGAGTTCACCAACATTATAAATATAAGAATAATAATCCAAGTCAATGGAGTGTTAAATAACAATATATTACCAAAAATGCAGTGACGAGTTGTATCAACAAAAAGGATTACTTGGATATAAAGTTTAAGTCCTCTGCTACAAATTATGTATATAATCCACAGGTACGTTAATTGATTGTGTTACGTCTGCTGTAGCTGCTGTGTTCCGGTTGTAGAAATGTCTTCGGTTGAGAGTAGTAGACTCCTACAATAAATCCGAAGTATACAACACGGTGTGAGTTGAGCAAGTAAGCAGAAGTGACCAGGGAGAAGACGAAGTCTCCAACAGCAGAGTGTATTTTTCAATTGTACACGGAAGTTATGTATATTTCAACAAGAAGCGTTTTAAACAAAAATTATGTACAATATCTCGAATTTATACAAATAACCAAAAAGTGTACAATCACATTGTTACGTACTCCACACGGCTCCCCCCGTAGAGGTCCGGAGAGACAACCGGAAAATGATAAGTAAAACTGTGAAGTAAATAATAATAGTAATAACAATTTTTGGATAAAAATAGGGATATATTACAACATGCATAAACGCGAGAAGGTATGTGAATCATGTAAAGTCTGAAAGCATATACAATGAGTTCAGCAATAAAAATTGAAATAGAAAGTCATGTCACTTAAATTTGCACTAACCATGAACATAGATTTTTAATGTATAAAGAAAAATATGTAAATACACAGTAATTAAGGAGGGGAAAGAAAACATTAAAAAAATATGGATTAAAGATCAATAGTTTTTGAAAGTGACAATACCTGTTTTTTAGGTGAGGTACATATAAATAAATAATAGTGATAGTAACATCAAAGTTTACGACGAAATACTAACGGTCATGATAATAATGTCTAAACGAAAAAGATAATAATAATTTTTAATTATTTTTTTTTTTTAGTCCTCAAAATGAACGTAGCGAGCCGGTTTACTGATTTGCCGACCACTACGTGTTTGATATGGAGGGAGGATAAGACTTGGTGCCGGTGGAGTGGAATCGGATGTTTGATTATTTGATTGCGCAGCTGCCGATGTAGATTCGAAGTCGTTGTCGGTGTATGCGGGTTTGATTCGATCAATTGAAATAGTCTCTCGTTTTCCATTCTTGTTCACTGTAAAGTGTTTGTCTGAACGTTTAATAACTTGAAAGGGTCCTTCGTATGGAGGTTGCAATCCTTTTCTGATGGCGTCGACTCGAATGAAGACGAATTTGCAAGTTTGTAGATGTTTGTTGATCTGATCTCGTCGGGGAGATTGTCGAGGTGCTGTTGGTTGAAGTTGAAGCATTTGTCTAGTTAATCGGTTAGTGAAGTCGGCAATGTTCACGTCTGTGGAATCGGCTGAGGGGACTAGCTGTCCAGGCAAGGTTAGGTTGGTGCCATAGACAAGTTGAGCCGGTGTACATCCTAAATCTTCTTTGATAGTAGATCGGATACCAAGTAAAATCAAAGGTAAGTATTCACTCCACTTAGATGTATCATTCTGCGCCATCAGGGAGCTTTTCAGTTGTCTGTGGAATCTTTCCACTAGACCATTCGCTGCCGGATGATAGGCTGTTGTGGAGATATGTTTCACTCCCAGAAGTCTCGTCAGTTCGCGAAAGAGTGTCGATTGGAATTGAGGACCGCGGTCGGATGTAATAGTAGTTGGTACACCGTAGTTTGACACCCAACGGTCGAGAAAAACTAAAGCAACGTTTTCAGCAGATATGTCGTTTAAGGGGCATGCAATAGCCCAACGAGTAAATCTATCAATCGCTGTCAGGATATGTGTATATCCTCTTGATGTTGGCAATGGTCCCACGATAT